TTTCAATTAGCTACCGTTAATACCAACGGTCATTTTTTTTTTTTTTTTTAAATAAAAGAAAATGAAACGAAAACTTATATCTATGACACGTTATAATATATCGAATCGCAAAGCGTTTGAACATATTCTTGCACCTTTAATCACGCACAAGAACAAAATATTATTAAAAACTAGATTAATTGCAGTCTCCCATGCTCGCATTAATATTATACAAATTATATGTTCGCTCTTTGCCTAGCAAAATTCTCTCGATATCTATTTCATTATTATTATTTACTTACATTTCTAATAACCGACGATTATTCAGGATAAACTACATTTTTTGGAAACGACTAGATAACATTTGATATAGATCATCTGCAAGCTTAAACGATAAGATATGCGCTGCACGTTTCTCCGAATTATAACGACTTTCTTAATTAACAACTATTGTCCTCTGATCATCGTGTTGATACGACAGTCATCAAACGAATTAAACATTTTAAATACATTGATGATGGAATTCAAGAGAAGATAATATAATTAATATAAAATGAACAAATATTTATACATAAGTAATTCTTATTTGACGAAACTATAGAATTAAACAATATAATATAATGTAATGCGTAACAAGTGAGTGTTTACTGAATTTTAAAATAGCTAAAAATCGTTGATTCGTCTTTGAAACGCGCAACTTGAGCAAGGCAAAGCTCTTCACCGCGAGTGCGTATTACTACTTAGCAAGCTAAACTGAACGTAAAATCGGTATTGTCCTCCCTTACAAATTACTTCATTTCATACGTACATTTCATTTAACTGCTATGCGTTACATGAACACGCAATGACGCCAGGCGTTTCGCGGGTCGTAGCCGTTCAAAAAACTTGAAAACCAACACGAACGATTTATTCTGACTGTTTAATACTGATGTGCGTTCGGAACTATCAATACTTATATATCTTCGTTTCCTATAAGGTTACACGCGATTAACCTTATAACGTGTTGTGCTTGATCGCGTAGAAATTATCCATTCGACTTACGCTGCGACTCGTAAAACGCCACGCGTCCAGTCACAGGCATCGTTCTGCTTTCTGTATACATCTTATTATCATTAACAAGTAATTCTTCTTAAATTTCGTACGTGTTACAGGTTACCTTACATGGTTACCACCGACTTGAAATTAATCGGAAGAATCTGAATCAGATTCCGCGCCAGCGTCCGACGCTTCGCCTTGAGTTTCAGGCGTCGTTTCAGGAATTTTTCTTGTGTAAGTCGCTGATACGTATGCTCCTGGTCCTTCGCCTTGCGTGTGTTCGATTCCAACTCTAATCGACAAATAATGAAAAAATTGTAAAATTGTCTCAGATAATGCATGCTTATCGTTACAGAATCTGTACCTGTACTCGTGTCGCGACAAATTCTTAACATACTTCTCCGGTGGATTATCACTGTCGTGATTCTGAAAGCTAACGCTCCTAGCCGTTGTATGAGATACTTGGGTAGCAGGCATAGTAAATTCTACGTAACAGTATTCGGCCAAGTTCTCAGGGATCTGATCGTAAGAGGTTAGGGCCATTCTACATATCAGTTGGTGAGTCGTGTACGCTCCTGAGAATATATATTATCGATGATGTTCCAAAATGTTCGAGAATAACTTTTAAAAATATTTTAAGAATTTAAAATAATGCTTGTACCTTGGCCTTCTTTCGGTAACCTGGGCATTCTCCACACAATGGCACGATGTTGATGTTCGTACTTTGCCTGTCCCGATGTTACCTCCATCAGCTGAGGTTCTAGGTTATCGACCGCGCCAAGAAATCTTTCGATACCCTTGATCTTTCCCGTTCTTCTATGAGCTGATTTTACAGATCCGTATCTGAAGTGTTTTTCCACCCTGAACAAATATATCCAACACTCTGGAATCGGGAAACGGACCATCACATCTTCACAAGGTACTTGACCCAGTTTTCTCGACGCGAAACCCGGCACGAGAATATCGGCTCTCAATTCTACCTATTAATTAAAATAAAGAACAGGGTCAGAGCGTGTGAGTATTGGAGCGAGGTCGTGACACTATCAAAGCAAAAGCGGATATTGATTCGTAGAATACAAGTGCAAT